GCTGCCGGGCTCTGTTCTTCATGCAGTGGGTGGTGGCCACCCTGGGTTCTCCTGCTTCCCTTTCCGGGTTCCCACTCCCGCCATGGGCAGAGACAAACTCCGGGAGATGGCATGATCTGCATGCCCTGCGTTGCGTCTGCTGTGGGTGTAGGCCCTGCCATGCCCCTACTCTGCCAGGTATGTCAGGTGCTTTACACCATCATCTCTTCAGAATCTGCCTTATGCCAGCCTTCTGAACTAGTTGGTATCATCCCCATTTTACAGATGAGAAAATTGAGGATCAGAAAGTTTAGTTGATCCACCCGGGAAAGCAATGGCAGACGCAGGATTCCCAAGCCCTTGGGCTTTTCCACTGGAAACTAACTAGCACAAGGTGTGAGATGGTCTGGGCTGAGAGGCCAGGAGTCTGGTTCTTTCTAGCCAGTAGCCAGTGAAGCTGGGATGCTCATGCCTGCTCACCCCCTGGCAGCTGCCCACAGCCACACTCGCTGCTATTCGTCAAGGGCACAAGGCCAGATACCACCATGAGTGTCTCTCCTGTAGCATCCTTTGTCCTCCCTGGGCTCTCAACAGCCAGCTGGAGGTTCATGGAGCCCTTGAGTCCTTTCCCATCCCACCCCTTTGGGTGTGACAAGCTCCGCTCAGGTTCCCCACCAGAAGGCTGAGGGGCAGCCATTTTGCTCTGCTGTGGGCTTCTTCCAGTGACCTTTACACGTACTGTGTGGTATGTAGAAGATGACAGAGCATGAGGTGAGAAGACGCTGCCGCTCAGAGCTGAGCTGTGGGGGAAAGGCAGGGACAGGCCTGAGGCCAGGCCGAGCTTCTGACTGGACCAGGAGAAACCTCAGCAGAGATAGGAAGTCAGGAGTCAAGCTACTGCTGACCAGAGGACAGAGGTTTCTATGGAGACCACAGGAGCAGGAAGCATGGGCCCTGCAGGGAGGGGGCTTTGGGAACATAGAGGCATGGGTGCTTTGCAGGACAACTTGTCATAAAATGTCAGTTCAGCCAGTCTCGTAGCCTCCTCAGACAGACAAGGAAACTGAGGCCCGTGTGGGGACGGCTTTGCACGTGGTCACAGAACACTGGCCTGGCTCGCCTCGCCTGTCTTGCTCCTCGCTTGCAGTGACCGCACCACCAGGCAGCTGATGAGACTCCCGGACAGTTGAACTTGGGGCTGCCCGGAAGTGTGTGGGCTGGAGCATGTCGTGAGGCAACCTCTGCCTCCTGGCCCCTCTTGTCAGTGTGGGTCTGGGGCAGCAGGCAGGGCCCAGACCTCCTCACTACTCGCAGAGTGCCTGGAACACCTCCCCCTACTGACTGCGGCCTTTTGTTTTCTGGGTGACACTAGCATCAGGCGGTGTGTCCGGGTGACTAATCTCCTCCAGGCTGGGCAGCTGTCACAGGGCAGCCTGACCAGACGGGCAGGGAAAGCTGACACCCTGGGGGAGTGCTGGCAAGCCAGTGCCCAGGCAGCAGTGGGCAGCTGGGCCTTCAGGCTTCTCTTCCCGGGTGCAGAGTAGACCCGGGTCAGGCAGACCCGGGTTCAAGTCCTAGTTCTGCTCCTGACCAGCCTGGGGCCTTTGTCGCTCTTATTAGGGCTCCCTTCCCTACCCCATCTCACTTTAGTCCCAGCCTCGTGGCCCAAAAGGAAAGACGCTGCTCTCCACTACGGCTCTGGGATACGGGCTTTGCCTTCAGGTAGACTTGGGTTCCATCATTGGCCCCCCATTGACTGGCTGTAGACTTTGGGCAGGTTACCGCCTTGTGCCTCAGTTTCCCGTCAGGAACACGGCATGATGCCGTACCTGTCCTTTCATGTTGCTGTGGTTTATAAAATGATACGTGTGTTTGTAAAGGGCTCAGCAGAGTGCCTAGCGCACGGTGGGCACTCAGTAAATGTTAGCTGTGTTGATGCTGATTTTAGTAGGAAGCCAAGAGCTCTCTGTCCACTCCCGTTCTCCTGCCCTCAGAGCTTAACTCCTGCCCTTCTCCCTGTCACCTGCAGAGGCTGGGGGCTGGAGCAGGCAGAGACCAAGAGCCAGGCAGTCTCAAACATTGCTTCACCAGGCACGCTGCCTCAGCTGCTCGCTGATCACAGGAGCTCGGACGTCTTGGCCCCATCTGCCTCTCCCCTGATATCTGCCCCCATCCAGGGCTTCAGGCTGGCGTTGCTCGCTGGACTCACAGGATGGTAGCAAATTAAAGAGTGGGTGTGTGGGTGGTGGGAGGAATGGGCAGTAGACATGCAGCCCGGTCCTCCACCTATCATCTACCATCATTTGTCCAAGGCTCTCACCCACCATGTGTGACTTCTGCTGGGCCCTCAGCAGGCAGATGTCCCATGGCTGTGACTCAGACCTCTCTGTGGCTACCAGGGCCCAGGAGGTCACCTGATGGCGGGGCACAGGCATCCCTGGGCATTCTGGAGGCATCCCCCATGCCCCAGCTTACCAGGCTTCCTGCCCTCTCCCCATTGTCAGGAAGAGCTGAGGATGTGGAAATGCCAGTAGCCGGTGAAGAAGGGGCAGCCAGGAGTAGGTGAGCTGGTGAGGGAAGCTGGGCACATGTTCAGAACAGGTCAAGGAAGGATGGTTTGAGTGAGGATGGGCCCCATGGGTTCTGCCTCCTGCAGGAGGGAGCTCTGGGGCCGAGAGTTGGAGCTTCTAGTATTGGCTCCTAGGTCAAGGTGCAGTTCACAGCCTCCCTTGAGAGCAGGGCTAGAAGGGTTTTCAGACAGCGCCTGTCACCCGGTACTTTCCCACATTGGGAGGTCCATACTAGGCCTTTCCAGAAGGGTAACACGGAGCAGTCTAGTACCAATGAAGTTCTTTTAGCCCCCCAGAGACAGAGATGCACACCCAGAACCCACCCAGAAGGCTTTTATCTTGGCTCGGGCCTCTCTTTGCTCCCCATACAAAGTCCCCCTGGGTGAGGACTGGAGTGGCTTTCCCTGTGCAGCCCCCTTCCAGTTCTGAGGGCCTTGTTCCCCAGGGCCCTTATGATCCCTAAATCAGATCCTCTCCATTTGTAATGCCACTCTGAGCCTGACCCCATGACTTGGGGCTGAGATTCTGGGGGCCTTATCTGGACTGGGTTTCTTTCCTTTCCTTTCCTTTTTTTTTTTTTTTTGTTAATGTTTGTTTATTTAGAGAGAGTGCAAGGGTGAGCGCGAATGGGGGAGGGGCGGAGAGAAAGGGAAAGAGAGAAAATCCCAAGTAGGCTCCTCACGGGCAGTACTGCGATGTGGGGCTCGATCCCGTGAACTATGAGATCACGACCTGAGCTGAAATCAAGAGTTGGATGCCCAACCAACTGAGCCACCCAGATGCCCCATGGGTTTCTTTTCAGAGCGCCTCATTTTATTACCATAGCTTAGTTTGTGCTGTGTCCTAGGAGGGGACACCGAAAGCTAAAACCTGCCCTGAGTTGGTAGCCAAACAAAGGCCCAGTGAGAGGAAAAGATGAGGCTTATCCTTTGTTCCTCAGTCCATAGAGGCTGACTGCAAACTGGAACCCAGGACTGCAGACTTCCAGCTCCCATTTTTTCTTTTCCATCAGCCTCAGGCGAGGGAGGCAGAGGCCAGGGCTTTGTGGATTATGGTGCCTGGACAGGGGAGCCACATGGGTAGCTGGAAGCCCCTTGTACCCACTACTGCGGGAGCAGCATAGGGTATAACTGGGGAGAGCGCCAGTGCTTCCAACAGTGGTAAACGTGGGCTCCCTTGAGGATTCTGTGCTACCTTCAAACACCCTGTTTATGGGGGTCAGAGGCCACGGATCCTCCCGCTTCCTCCCTGTGTCCCTTCTCTGCTCAGAGGGCTGAGGCTGTGACTGGGCTCCCAGGCACAGGATGGGCCGTGGCCTGACCGAGCTCCTGATGCTCCCGATCTCTGCCCAACAGCCATCCACCTGCCCCTACCATGGAGACCTTCTTTAGGAGACACTTCCAGAGGAAGGCGCCAGGCACTGGGGAGGGGCAGCGGCGGCCCAGCGGCGTGGGGCTGCCCACAGGCAAGGTCCGACGCCGCTCCCCTGCCGGGCAGGCCTCCTCCTCCCTGCTCCAGCGGCGCCGCTCCAGCGCGCAGCTCCACGGCTGCCTCCTGGGCTGTGGGGTGGGGACCCGGGGCACCAGCCGCCGGCGCTCCAGCACCGTGCCCCCTGCCTGCAACCCCCGCTTCCTCGTGGATGAGGTGCCCACCCCACAGCCTGCTGCTGTTGGGGCGCAGCTTCTGGGCACGCCCCTGCTGTTGGCTGGGCTTATGGGCACGAATGAGGAGGAGGAGGCAGCTCGGGAGGAAGACGTGACAGCTGCACCGTTGAGTGCCACCCAGCCAGGCACCAGGAGACCAGGCCCATCCTCACACCGGGGCACCCTGCTGCCTGTGCCTCGCTACCTGCGCCGTCGCCGTGCCTCCTCCCACCTGCTCCCCGCCGACGCGGTGTACGACCGTGCCCTCTGGGGCCTGCACGGTTACTACCGGCGCCTCAGCCAGCAGTGGCCCCCAGGCCAACACCCTGGCCCTGGGGGTCGAAGAGCCTCAGGCACCACAGCTGGCCCTGTGATGCCTGCTCGTGTGCGCCCGCTGTCCCGCAGGCGTCAGGTAGCCCTACGGCGCAAGTCAGCGGGACCCCAGACCTGGAGTGCCCTGCTTGCGTAGGTATAGCTGCGGCCGGCAGGGCGAGTGTGTGGCCCCCAAGGGGACTGGCCTGGAGGAAGGACCTTGAGGACTGTGCCTGGCCTGAGGGCACCCCGCTTGGGAATGGCTCTGGATAGTGCCTGGAAGCCAGCGCGCTCCCAAAGGGCTGTGAGGAGGGCTGAGTCTCCTGCAGGGAACCTCTCAGAGTCTTAGGTTGTCCTGGGGCATCTACCCTCCTCATTGCGGTCCCTGTCCTAGCCAAGGGTTAAAGTCACAGTGAGGGCAGAGATCCCAGGTAAGGGGAGAAGGAAGCAGAGTCACCAGATGCTCAGCTGGCCTCAGCGATCTCCTTTCCTGTAGGAAAGCCATCACCAAGTCGGGCCTCCAGCACCTGGCACCCCCTCCTCCCGCTCCCGGGGCCCTGTGCAGCGAGCCAGAGCGGCAGATCCGGAGCACTGTGGACTGGAGCGTGAGTGGCGGGGTGCTAGGAGGGAGGGACAGGTGGATGGGCTTGGAGCCACAGCAGCAGTTAGAGATGGAAGGAGGTGCTGGGGGCAGCTGTGAGAGGAGCCCATGGGCCTTTGGGTCAGGGCAGACCTCCTAGGGTATCCACATTTGAGCCAAGCCCTCAAGAGTAGGGACAGTGGGAGGGGCACCTAGCTGGTTCAGTTGGAGGAACTTGCAACTCTTGATCTTGGAGTTGTAAGTTCAAGCCCCACGCTGGGTGTAAAGATTACTTAAAAACATTTTTTTTTTTTTTTATCTTAAAAGAGTAGGGACATTGGGGAAACAGGATGGAGCAAAGCAGATTGTGGTGGCTGGAGCAGATTTGTCTTGGGAGAGAGGAGGGTTGGTGGGGCAGGACAGGGACTGACTGGTGGGCTGGGTAGCAGGTTCGCGCTGAGCACGCTTGTCTCGCGGTCTAGGAGTCCGCGACCTATGGGGAGCACATCTGGTTCGAGACCAACGTGTCAGGGGACTTCTGCTATGTTGGGGAGCAGTACTGTGTAGCGAAGATGCTGGTGAGTGAGCTCTCTGCGGCATGCTGCCCTCTGCTGGTAGAGTGGGTCTAGAAGCCTGTAGACAGACCTCTGCTGGCCTTCTTGGGAAGGTGGGAACAGGACTGTCACCTGAGCGCCCGCTGTGGGCTGTCTGAGGATGGCAGGAGGAATGGGGGCTGTATTCTGGTGCCAGGATCGGGGGTTCCCAGTGAACAGAGAGGGAAGATGGAAGGATTTCTCTTCTGGCCCTGGGGCAACATTCTGGACGGAGTTACCTGGTGCTTCAGGGCCTCCTCTTCATTTTCTGCAGCAGAAATCAGTGTCCCGGAGAAAGTGTGCAGCCTGCAAGATCGTGGTGCACACCCCCTGCATTGAGCAACTGGAGAAGGTAAGTGTGAGTGCTCAGCCTTTCCTGCCCCTCCCCTTTGGGTGCTGAAGTCCCTCAGCAAACACACATGTGTATTTCTGCACTGATACTCATGTTACAAGCGTTGCCTGCCAAGAGTGCCCCGGCCTGCGTGGTGGTGAAGAGCCAAAGACCCTAGAGCTGAAATGCCTGCATTTGAGTCCTGTCTCCCTCCACTCCTTTATTAGCTACCCTATTCCCACTGCCCAGAACAAGCGTGGCACAGAGTGGGGCTCACTATGGATGAATAATGAGCGATGGCCGAGACCCCATTTTATTAGCACCTAAATTAACATTTAGAAGGGGCCATGGTCTTGCCGAAGCTAGGCCACTCCTGTGTAGCCCTGAAGCTTGGCTCTGGGCCCGTGCTTCTAAAGCAAGGTAGAGGGGACACTGAGCAGGCAGATCCAGGCCAAGGGTGGGGGGCTCCCCAGGCAGCAGAAACCCCGATCAGCACATGGGAAAGCTTCTAGGACTAGGAGTGGCATCAGCAAGGCTAATGTGGGTCACTTGCCCCAGCCCCTGACTCATAGAGTGAGGTTTCCCTGCAACTTTGCTAAGGCTGAAGCAGGGACAGTTGGGAAAAGAGAGACAAACGTAGCCCCAGGTGTTACAGAGGCTAAGATGGGATCACACCAGTTTTCATAAGTGAGCTAATGGTCTCCAGGGACCAGCCAGCACAAGTCTGCAAGCACCTATCAGGGTGCCTGCACATGCCTAGGTTGGGAGCATTCGAGGGTAAGGGGAAAATGTGGGAGGAGTAAACCATACTGCCTTTTAATGGTGGGGGAGTGGACACAAAACTCCAAGTCTCCCCCATCCCAGGAAACTAACAGAGGAAGGAAAAAGTCCTTCTGGCTGTGGTGGAGAGGAGGCAGGGATGCAGGAGGGCTTTTGAAAAGAGGTGTCTCACATTCTGAGGGCTCCCAGGATGATTTGGGGCTAGCTTTACCTTGTGAGTGACACTTCCCTGGAGGAGGTGGCTATATGTCTGACTCCGTGAAAGGAGGTTCTGACATTTGGGCGGTCGTTGCAATGTTTCACAGATAAATTTCCGCTGTAAGCCATCCTTCCGTGAATCAGGCTCCAGGAACATCCGTGAGGTAAGTGCCCAGGGTAGTTACAGGTAAGGAGGCCCCAAGTTTCCTGAGTGGACTTCTCCACAGTGTCTCCAGAGTGCCACCAGGGGACTCAGCAACTTTGAGGCTGCTCTGGGGCCCAGGGAGGTGCAGGGCTGAGGCTCTGAGAGCGTCTCAATGGGGAAGGCCTGGCAGGCCCTGCTTGCAGAGTGGATGGGACACTGCCTGCCTCTTGTGCCTCCTCACTCTTCTCCCCTACCGCGAGCCTCAGTCCCCACCTTGAGGCCATGTTGAGAAGTCTCCAGCCCCTCTCACCTCACACACACTCCTGCAGAGAGCTTCCTGCAGCCCCACCCCTCACTCCGGTGATACTCTCTCTTCCTCCACCAGCCAACATTTGTGCGCCACCACTGGGTACACAGGCGACGCCAGGATGGCAAGTGTCGGCACTGTGGGAAGGTGAGGCCCTGCCCAGGGAAGTTGGCCAGCCTGATGACCACCGGACCTGGGCCCTGTGGCCCCCGAGCCTCAGGCTGTGCATCCAGTGTGACCTGCCCATCACCGACTGTTTCTCCTGAGTGCAGAGTCCTAGGGCTCTGTTTCAACCTGGCTGAGGTGCCCATTCAGTTCCAAAACACCTAGGCTTCTGGACAGAGCAGGAGAGCAGGGAAGAAAGTTATCTTCTAGTGCAGGGTATCTGGACTGCTTGGAAATTACACGTGAGCCGCTGAGAATTAGACTTACTCATTTAGTAACTCGGCAGATACTTATTGAACGCCTGTTGGGTGCTGAGCCCCACTGGGTAGTGGGTAGTGGGTCCCTGCCCTCCTGGAGGAGGAGGGTGTGGCTTGAAGACAGACTCTGCAGGCAGTCCTCCTGAGCACAGTCCACAGTGTGGTGGTCACTTAGTCATTGTCTGCTTCCTGTGCGTCTCTGTCAGTAAGCATAGGCCATGGAAGGTCGAGGGGCCTTGTCCCTCTTTTCCTTTGCCCACTTTCAGTGCCACACACAGTGTCTGGCACCCAGCAGGCCCTCAGTAACGTTCGTAGGGCGAACAAGGGTATGAATGTGATAGGTACTGTGAAGAAGCGTGAAGCGCTGTAAGTGCCCAGGGGCCTGGGGGTCTGGGGTCAGGAAGGAGGGCATCTCCGCCTACAGGAGTTAGCTGTGGATGCTTTGAGCAGATCACATGTGTGCACCCAACGCCTTGCAGTTAACTTCAGAGAGTCCTAAGCCTCCCTGCTCCAGGGGCTTATTTTACAGGGTTTTTTGTTTTTTTGTTTTTTGGTTTTTTTTGTCGTTTTGTTCTGTTTTTTATTTTATTTTATTTATTTTTATGTTTTATTTATTTTTGAGAGAGAGAGAGAAAGCAAGCACGGGAGGGACAGAGAGAGAGAGGGAGACACAGAATCTGAAGACAGGCTCCAGGCTCTGAGCTAGCTATCAGCACAGAGCCCGACGCGGGGCTTGAACCCACGAACCGCGAGATCATGACCTGAGCCGAAGTCGGACGCTTAACCGACTGAGCCACCCAGGCGGCCCATTGTTTTTTGTTTAATTTTTAAAAATGTGCTCAATTTCCCTGGGTGGAGAGAGGTTGACAACAGAAGAGGAGTTGGGCCTGCTGCTCTGGACCTGGTCCCTGGTGCCCCAACCACCCTCTTCCCCCTAGGGCTTCCAGCAGAAGTTCACCTTCCACAGCAAGGAGATCGTGGCCATCAGTTGCTCCTGGTGCAAGCAAGCAGTGAGTGCTCGCCCTGCCCCGCCGTAGGCCGTCCCCTGGGCTGCACTGGGTGGGGGTTCCCAGGCCTCAGCTCAGCCCGGCTCAGCTGTGCCCCCTCCTCTCTAGTACCACAGCAAGGTGTCCTGCTTCATGCTGCAGCAGATCGAGGAGCCGTGCTCCCTGGGGGTCCACGCTGCCGTGGTCATCCCACCCACCTGGATCCTTCGTGCTCGAAGGCCCCAGGTGAGTCTTGCCTGCACTCTTGACACCACTCCCACGTTTGGGCTCTGCTGACTACCCCAGCCCTCCCACCTTGTCACCAATGCCCCTGCTTCCCTCGCAGAATACCCTCAAGGCAAGCAAGAAGAAAAAGAGAGCATCCTTTAAGAGGAAATCTAGCAAGAAAGGGCCAGAGGTTAGTCCTGGGGCTGGGTGGGCCACTGGAGGGGAACAGGAAAGAGGGGCCTGTTTCTTGGAATACTGAGGCCCCTGGGCTGATGCAGCCTTTGGTGGGTCAGTTTGGGCTCTGGGCCCCAGAGGAGGGTGTGAGGCCAGATCCGAGTTGCCTCTGTATGGCCAGGCCCACTTAAGGTCTGACCTGGAGGTAGTATGAGGGCGCACTGCCGAAAATGGGGGTAAGGTCTTCAAGACAGGAAGGAGCCTTATTGTCTCTCTGTCTCCAAGGAGGGCCGCTGGAGACCCTTCATCATCAGGCCCACCCCGTCCCCCCTCATGAAGCCCCTGCTGGTGTTTGTGAACCCCAAGAGTGGGGGCAACCAGGTACGCACAGCCTCCCCTCTCCACCGGGAGCCTTGGGGGAGGAACGGGTTCCGGCTCTGCACCCCTCCCCTCCCCAGCAACTGCTCCCAGTTCCATGGCAGGCTCCTGCCCCATCCCTCTTTCCCAGAGATACTGAGGAGATCTGATTCTGTCTCCACCCCTTGCCCCTCGCTGGGCCTGCTTCCCACAGCCACAGCCTTCTCATGTGCTTTTCCCCACTTCAGCCCACCAGCCCTGACTGACTCCCCCGGTCCCCCGCAGGGCGCTAAGATCATCCAGTCCTTCCTGTGGTATCTCAATCCCCGACAAGTCTTTGACCTGAGCCAGGGAGGGCCCAAGGAGGCGTAAGTACTTGCCAAGGCTCCGTGGGGACAGTGGCAGGGGGCTTGCCTGGCACTCAGGTTAAGGTGCACGTACGCTGACACTTCCGGTCCTCCGACCCCAGGCTGGAGATGTACCGCAAAGTACACAACCTGCGGATCCTGGCGTGCGGAGGCGACGGCACGGTGAGTTCTCCCGCTGCTCGCTTCTCCAGTCTCCCGCCTCTCTGGGGCCTGAGCCTGGGCCCCGCTGGTCTGACCTGGCCTCTTGTGCTCTGCCCCCTCCAGGTCGGCTGGATCCTCTCCACCCTGGACCAGCTGCGCTTAAAACCACCGCCGCCCGTTGCCATTCTGCCCCTGGGCACTGGCAATGACTTGGCCCGTACCCTCAACTGGGGAGGGGTAAGAGCCCACGGCAGGGCAGGAGAGCTGGGGGTGGGCCGTGCGACCCTGCACGCCTCTCCCCAGGGGAGGCTCAGTTCCTGAGCCCTTTGTCCCACCAGGGCTACACGGATGAGCCCGTGTCCAAGATCCTCTCCCACGTGGAGGAGGGGAATGTAGTGCAGCTAGACCGCTGGGACCTCCGTGCTGAGCCCAACCCCGACGCGGGGCCCGAGGAGCGTGACGAGGGCGCCACTGACCGGGTAGGGCGGCCAGGGCCAGGGGCAGCCGCTACAGTGGGGGCGGGGGGCAGTCTCGGGAGACCCGGGCTGGCCTCCTCTTTCTCACTTGACAGTTCAGGGACTTTGGGCAAATCTCTTCGTTTCTCCAGACTTTCAGCTTCTTCCGTACAATGGTAATAATGGTACTCCGCAAGCTAGTTGTTATTCAGCCACTTGGCAAATATTTACTGAATATCTGCCACATGCCAGGCACCATTTTAAGCGGCAACAAAGCAAAGTCCCTGTTCTCACAGAGCTCCTAGAGAATATGGCACTTTGGGGAAGAAGCATCATGGGGGACAGAAAGCCAGGGAAGAGAGTGTCAGCAGAGCTGGGGCTGTTTTGTGTATGGGGCACTTGGAGGAGCCTCACCGGAGCCGGAAGCTGAGAGGGCAGAGCCTCAGGCGGGGAACTGGCTGGAGGAAGAACTTTGTGGTAGATCCTCTTAACTGGGGGAAAGGCTTCCAAAAATGCATGGGCTTAGCGAGCCTGGTGGCCCCTGGCCTGGGCCAGGCCAGAGCAGGGAGGGGTCTGTTAGGCCCAGCCCTCATGCTGGGCCCGTGACCTTTTTCCAGCTGCCTCTGGATGTCTTCAACAACTACTTCAGCCTGGGCTTCGATGCCCACGTCACCCTGGAGTTTCACGAGTCTCGAGGTTGGCAACCTCTTGCTGAGGAGGCATTGGGAGGCTGGGGAGGAAGAGACACAGGAGGGTCCCTGAGAGGGTCAGAACTTGCCCCCAGCAGTAAAAGAAAGGCACTTGTTCCCAGCCCTTCCTCCTCGCCCCAGCTTGGGAAGCCCCAGCAGGTTCAGAATGACTGACTGTCCCCTGTTTCTTATCGCCACCCAGAGGCCAACCCAGAGAAATTCAACAGCCGCTTTCGAAATAAGATGTTCTACGCCGGGGTGAGTCTGGGGTCTGCCAGCAATAGCCCCCACCATGCCCACTATTCTACCACCTAAGCCCCCTGCCCACCTGTGTCTGCTAGGCCACAGGACCCCTTCTGGGCAGTGGTAAGGGAAAGTCTCTGTTACCAGATGGTGATGCCCTCTGTCTCCCACAGACAGCCTTCTCCGACTTCCTGATGGGCAGCTCTAAGGACTTGGCCAAGCACATCCGAGTGGTGGTAAATGGACCAAGCTGGCAGGCAGAGTGGGTGGGCCCAGCAGAGAGGGAGGCTGCCTTGGCACGGCTGTATAGCTTACACCCTCCCCTGTTCCTGCCTCCAGTGCGATGGAACCGACCTGACCCCCAAGATCCAGGACCTGAAGCCCCAGTGCATTGTTTTCCTGAATATTCCCAGGTGAGGAGGGGAGGGCTCTGTGTGGGCCCAGCTGTCTCCATCCTGCAGGACTGTCCTCTGAAGGCCCTTGTGTTGCCTTCCCCTCCAGGTACTGCGCAGGCACCATGCCCTGGGGCCACCCTGGGGAGCACCACGACTTTGAGCCCCAGCGGCATGATGATGGCTACCTCGAAGTCATTGGCTTTACCATGACGTCCCTGGTGAGTGGGCCAGCAAGGGACCTGCCTGGAGCCCCGGCTCTGCTTTGCCCCTGGCTCTGTCCCCACAGTGACCAACAATACTGTTCCAAGATGGAAGGGGGGCATTTACCAAACTTCCTTTCACTGGCCGAGATAGGAGAATTCATGCTCATCTCCCTGGCTGGGGTCTCCCCTTCCCTCCCTCCCTTCCCCCAGCAGGGTCTCGCTCTTCCCTCAGCTCTCTGACTGGGGTATTGTCCTCCCTCTCTGCTCTCTGTCTGGAGGGTCACTGTCATTGTGTTCCCTGGCCAGAGCATCCCTGGGGGGAACAGAGCTGGGGGCCCCACTGCCCCTGCCCTGGCGCCTGACCTGAGCCTTTTGCGCCCACAGGCAGCGCTGCAGGTGGGCGGGCACGGTGAGCGGCTGACACAGTGCCGCGAGGTGGTGCTCACCACGTCTAAGGCCATCCCGGTGCAGGTGGATGGCGAGCCCTGCAAACTCGCGGCCTCTCGTATTCGCATCGCCCTGCGCAACCAGGCCACCATGGTGCAGAAGGCCAAGCGGCGGAGTGCCGCCCCCCTGCATAGCGAGTACGTCCCCCTCCCGGCCACCTGCCCTGGACCCAAGGCCAGACTCTGCCCCTCTCTTGAGCCTTGGTTTCCCCAGCCGGAAAGGGGGCCTCCAGTCCCTCTGCCCCAGGGAAGCTGGGCAGGGCCCCTCAGTCTGCCCCTCAGTGGCTGGCTGAGGATCCTTCCCGTGTGCCCTCTTCCCACCTTCCGCCCCGTGCCTCAGCCAGCAGCCCGTGCCTGAGCAGCTGCGGATCCAGGTGAGCAGAGTCAGCATGCATGACTACGAGGCCCTGCATTACGATAAGGAGCAGCTCAAGGAGGCCTGTGAGTGACAGTTGGGGGCAAGGAGCTGCCGAGCCCTGGGCGGGGGG